AAAAGCTGTTGACTCCTTGAGAAACATGATCCAAGAACTAGTTGTTCCTCTCAAAGTATGATCTTTCTTGGAAGCAATCCTATGAACCATCCAGGTGCTGGTATGAAGAAAATCTGACTAAAGCAACAGAATGACACTCCAAACCACTGTGATCTACAACAGAAAGAGTTGTCTCCATTTTTTTTTTTTTTTATTTCAAAAATGAAAAAAATTTCCGTTAGCCGAGGCCTAGCTAGAAAGGCATGTATTACAAAATTCATTCAGGCATATTACAATCCAGCTAAGATATAATAAATCAACATTAATCAAGACTTGGGTCGTATCTGCAAAAACTCTCTGATTCAGTTCATGTGATCTACAATAAATTAACTCAAAACCACTGTCTTCCTAAGTCTCTTGATATATACTGTGGTTGGAATTCTTCGTCTATTAGGATAGTGGCCACTTACTCGATACCGTTTCTTAGGATGACTGGGCCTAATTTTGAATAACCACCATTTCGCGTGTATGGTTCAAACGTCATCTAAACTCAAAAAATTAACTTATCTTCTAATTTGAATAAGCGACGAGGATGTGTCATGTGTAAGCCAGATGGATACTGGCGTATCTAAGAACAATTAAAATATTAATTAAAAGATTAATTTAATGCATAATCAATTGCATTAGAACTATGTATCAGAATTTGCTAGATTTTGTTTCAAAGGTCATAATGTTCAGAGGAAAAAGAACAGAAGCAGGTGTCTTGTGGAAAGGACAAACCTCCTTGGAATGGGCAGGCGCTATGGCTTCTCCAACTATATATATCTTTGTTGACTAACAAAAATTTAACATAGTTTTTCGTTCAAATTACTATTTAGCTGTCAAAATTTTTGATCAGCATATTTAGTTGTCAAAATAAAATAAATTATTGACTAATTATGTTTTGTTGTAATTGTAATTGTAGTTCCTCATATGTTCATATGAAGATCACATTGTATAATCCATAACAATTTTATGCTAAAGCTATCTATACAATGAAGACAACCTTTGTTTTACTTGAATGATTTCAATAGAGCCTTATCATAGATCGAAAGCTAAGTAAATATGTTAAAACTATTCAAGCCAAAACTTATCACCGATGTAACAATTTTTTGAATCAATGTATGCAAACCCTTAAAACCTTAAATTTGGAGTTTCACGTATATAAAGTTTGCAATTTTTAGTATTCATAGTAAAGAGATAGTTATAGATGATGTTTGACAAAATTTTAAAAGCATTTACTTAAAAAAGCAAAATTTTCTCTTATAAATTTAAAATTTGTTGCAGAAAAATTTTAAAAATTGACTCTTAAAGTAGTTTTTAAGTATGTTTTAAAAAAACTATAAATCTAAACTTTTTTCAACCTTACTCAAAACCATCAATTTTTAAATTTTCTTCTAATAAAATTTTAAATTTACGAAAAAAAAAAAACTTTTAAAACAATTTAATCTTTGCCAAACACCCTCATGTTGAGTTGAGTGTTGCTTTCATGATCTTAAGCTAGCTAGCTGACGAAATCACCAGATCCAAGACCGAGTATGGTTGAAAATAAAAATATAATGGGTCTCTAAGGATTTCTTGAATTGTCAATTGATAAAGAGAAGACGCTGCAATTTTTTTTTTTCTTCTTTTTGTCATGATTCCTGAATCCAAAATGCAATCAATATTAAAAGGATCACATGATATTGTAGTGGCCCTTCGCAATTAGACAAATGAATTGAATTTGAGCGCGGTGATGACTACCTAGAGACAGATGAAGGGGCGTTTAATTGTATGATATGATTTTT